AGCCTCTTTTTGGTTTGGAATTAGCAAAGGATTGTAAAAGCACAACTAACTCTTTTAAGTTTTAAGCCATATAAAAAACTTTTTATTTTGACAGAAAATAACATTATACAAAAACAAAACCTTCTTGCTTAGGCAGAAGAAGGGTTCTACGATTTCTAAAGAACCTCGAGTTTTGAAGAGAGACAAGAACAAGACATTACATTATAAGTTTACTTATTGAATCACGTAAACGACTAAAACGAGTTTCCACATTTCTCGTAGTAGTACAACAACCTATCACTTAATTCTTCGCAATTCAGCTTGCAACTATCCATCTGAAGATGTAAAGTGTAAAAGAGTCTCTCTCCTTGAGACCTTGAAGATGAAGCATCCACAAGAACCAACCCGTCTTCTTCTACACCACTCAGCACATTCCCAAACGAACATTTTTCAGTCTTTAACGATGAGATTTGGACCATCACTTCGGTCTCACCGAGCCTAGTCGCAGAAACTGTTGATGCATAACTTGTGACCCCTTTCTCTGGCTTACCGTTTTCGTCGGTGTAAACGAGACCTCTTTGACCCGAGATTTGAAACGAGAGCTCTTCTTTCTTCTTTTTGAGCTTCTTAACTTGCTCTTGTAGCTGTGGTATGTACTTCAATGCTTGTGAAACCGTCGCTGAAACACTTAACTTCTTCTGCAAGAAATATAAAAAAGAATTTTTTTTCATTTTTCTTGTATAGTAATAGGCGATTGGTATGTAAATTTTTTCTTGGTTCCGTAAAAAAATATCTTAAGAAAAGACAACATCTCACTATTTTTATCAACATAAAAATTGCAAATTCAAATGAAATGAGAAATATTACTTGCCTATTTGCAATTTGCAATAAAATATTTGATAAGAGCAACTTCAAATGTTAATTTTTCTTTTTTCCGTTGAGTGTTCATTTAGTAAATTAATTGCAAATATATTGGGCCACGTTAATATTGTTACGTTTATGTACATTAAGTGTAGGTTAATCACTTAATCTTGCATACTT